TGTAAAAATTATATGATCAATAGTAATGGATGTTTCCCAGTGATGGGTTGCAGCTGGAAGGGCATCCACTACATAAAAAATATGCTGAATAAGTTGGCGGTTCATTCTGCTGTGTTAGTATAGTGACTAAGCCGACAAGAAAATGAATGAATAAATGATTCAGTTTAAAAACCAGGATTTTTGCAGTGTAACAATGACAACAACAACATCAACAACAACAACAACAACAACAACAACAACAACAACAACAACAACAACAACAACATCAACAACAACAACAACAACAACAACAACAACAACAACAACAACAACAACGATGATAATAAATCATCATCATAAACCATATTTATGCATATACATTGTTTTAATCCATTCTTCAGAGAATATGGACAATTAATATTGGTAATTGATTTTTTTTACCTTTTTTTATTATTAAGTATATTGGATTTAGTGTGGACACCTAACATCTTTAGATAAGACAATTAATTAAAAATAAAAAAACCAACAACATTTGACGGCCTTCATCACATTGTTTTTTTTACACAACATTATAACTTTAAGGTTAAATACAAATTTTTAAATCATACATTACAAATACCTAACTAACTAACTAACTAACTAACTAACTAACTAACTAACTAACTAACTAACTAACTAACTAACTAACTAACTAACTAACTAAACAAATAAATAAATGAATGAATGAATAAATAAATAAATAAATAAATAAATAAATAAATACCATATTCTAATATTATTATACATATATATGGCTAATATGTGCTGATATGTTTATATAAACTCACTGGCCACTTTATTAGGTATAAGGCATGGATACATCCTGCCTTGTATCAGCAATTCAGGCTGGTGGTGTTGGTGTAATGGTGTGGGGGATATTTTCTTGGCACACTTTGGACCCATTAGAACCAATTGAACATCTTGTCAGCACCACAGCCTGACCACAGTGTACCCATATTCTGATGGCTACTTCCAGCAGGATAACACATGTTATAAAGCCCAAATCAACTCAGACTGGTTTCTTGAACATGACAATGAGTTCACTGTACTCAAATGGCATCCACAGTTACTAGAATTCAATCCAGCTGACAAATCCGAGCAATTGTGTGATGCTATCATGTCAATATAAAGCAAAATCTCTGAGGAATATTTCCAGTAACTTGTTGAATCTATAACACAATGGATTAAGGCAGTTCTAAAGGCAAAACGGGGTCCAACACAGTACTAGTAAGGTGTACCTAATAAAGTGGCCGGTGAATGTGTATACATACATATATATATATATATATATATATATATATATATATATATATATATATATATATATATATATATATATATATATATATATATATATATATATATATA